CACACACACACACACACACACACACACACACACACACACACACACACACACACACACATACACTCTCTCTTATATATATATTGTGTGTGTGTGTTTTTCTTCTTTTTTTAGTAGATTGTTTTGAAAAAAAGGCCCCGAATAAACGAAATAATATCAAGATTCAATTATTGAAATACTGCATATATGATTTTGAAAGTAGATCATAAAATAGAGAGAGAAAAAGTAAAGAAGCGTCGAGGCTCTAGAATTTCATGATAAAATATTTAAATAATGATGAATTACTCCTAAAAAAATGATCCTCTAATCATGTATTTATGGGGTACGAAATGAATAAATAAATAATTGAATTATAGCGAACATGTGTATGACAAAGTTAAGAATCTAGAAAGTACTTGTGAGCAACATTCTTGACTAATTCTTCTATACACTTTTATTGTATAGCAGATGAGGTTTTTGACTAGTTATTTGAAATCACCTAGCAAGATAGAGGGAGTTGTTAGACACCTTTTATAACTCAATCAAATCTTCCATATAAGTGATTGAGTGTCGAGGAGAAGGGAGCAAGTGTCCTTGAGGTAAGGAGAATGCTTTATGAAATGATGCAAGTGCTCTAATCCTTGGTAAGTTTATTTAAATCAAATGAATTCCTTTAAATCAATAAGTGCCTATGTTTTAGGAAACCATCATTAAAATGTGTAAGCATCTTTATGCCGAGTGAGTGTCATCTTTCACTAGGTGAGTTGACCTTATAAGAGTCATGGGTAATTATAAGGAAAAGATTTCCAAGGAAATGAAGTATATCTTTAAGCATAAACAATCTTCTAACTTTGGGGTATTAGGGTTATTGAACAAAAAAGCAGTTTCGTAGTATTTAGAGTTGACCTTAAAACAAAATCATATTAATCCCAAAATTAAGTTAATCCAACATTTAGTTAACTAGCCAAGTACTAATTTAGGAGATTAGTTTCTCTAATGTTGATCTACTTCTTGTCTCGAAGTTGGCTTGAATTAAGTATAAAGGCTCATCCTATTATTTTTAGTTTAGATTTTTTTTATGTATTATTTTTTATATCTATTTATTTATTCATTTGATGTTATAAATAATAAAAATACTATCAAAGAAGAACACATTCACTGGGTTCTTAAATTCAACTTATCCAACTATCAAATTTTGTAGTGTTTGGTAAAAGCTTGTTGAATGTTTTGTTAAGCATCACATTATTTAAGCTAAATGACAAGTTTTTGAAGTGTTTCTTTGGCCTATGGGATTGGTCATTGGCTAGTGATGAAAATTAGACTTTTCATGTGTGCAACTCCTCTTTGCTTGGGATTTCAACATCTCATGGTGCTTAGCTTGTGGTCCTTTGATCCAATAATTAATGCACCTTGAAGGATATTGAATCCAAAATTATTCATAGAAATATTAGAACCTTAATGATATGACCAATGAAATGCAAGTGGAAAAAATATAGGAAGAGAAAAAGAAATAAGGATTTAAAATTTTACTATAATATATTTAAATACAAGCAATCTTAAACAAATATAGGGTGAGTTGATTGCATCTATGCTAAGTGACTTCTCTTAAAAAAATGATCTTCAAAATTGAGAGAGTGCCTAAGAGCTAAATAATTAACTTTGAGCTTAGAAAGCATCTATAAGTTGGATGAGTGACATCCAAGATTGGTTGGGTAGTCCTTTAACCAGGGTTAATTCTTCCTTAGAGTAATCTAGTAATAGTTTGATATGGTTGAGTTTCTCCTTGAACAAATTTGTTAGTATTTTATTTGAGAAAGTAATTTTACATAGTCAACTTTATATTAAAATTTCTAATGTCAGTCGTCGTGAATCCACATTTCTTCCGTCGTGAATCCACATTTCTTCCAAAAAAAAAAAAATTATGTTATCCAATAATGATTTGGTACAACCTTCAAAATTACTTATAATATTTTTATTAAAAATTCAAAATTAAATTTTGCATTGTTTTCAAAATATTGTTGTGTTTTTCCAGCTTAATTAGTTTTGTTTGGACCTACATCACAATCCTAGTAATTGATTCCTCACACCATCTTGGATTATAGTTTTTTAAATGTTCTTTTTCCTTTAACAAATGAAGCCTAATCATTAACAATTGCAAGCTTCAAGTGATAAAATAAAATAAATTCTATGTTAGAATAGAGGAAATAATTATCTCAAAATGATATATTTTGTCACTATCAAAAAATCATTATTTTTTTTATTTGTAGAAAAATATCAAAAATTAATTAGCATTTGTTAAATATAATTTCATATTAAAATTAGCATCATTTCACACAACTCACAAAATGATAAATAAAATAGTGAAAAAATGTGTCTAATGTTAATGATTATTTATGCTGGAATGCAAACAAACATACAAATGATAAAAATGAAGGAGATTTAAAGAGAAATGTTCGAAAACTTAATATTGAATCTAAATGTTAAAAGTAATGGGTGATTTGTTAGTTTTTTGATAGTTCTGCACTAAAATATAATATAATACCGGACTAATGGTAAAACCTAATAATGCCTTAATATTATGTAATAACATAATATTATTTTAATTTTTGTACTAAAATTATAATATAAATTTTTATTCATACACCACAAATATTTGGTTACTTTGCACTAAATTATTGAATGTGTAATCTTTTTTAGAACAAATATTTATACTAGTTGGTAATTAAGGAATAATGGCATAAAGTTAGATATTTCAAGTGGAGTTATTGGAAAATCTTTTGATTTTCCTTATAAGGTTTAATCAATTATTTTCATCACAAAATTATAAAAAAATTCAAAAGATATTCAAAGCATACAAATAAAATATCACTGATCATATAATGATATTCATCAAAGAAACAATGTACTATAAGTATTAACCATAATTTGATTGAAATTAATTTGCAGTTGAAGAGAATGACCATCCCATAGAAGAAGTGAGGCTTACAGTTGATCCATCAGACAATCCAAGTCTCCCTGTTCTCACAATTCGGACATGGATACTCGGTGTGATCTCATGCATCTTGCTCTCTTTTGTGAACATGTTCTTTGCATACAGAACAAACCCATTAGGCATTGGTTCAGTTTGTGCCCAAATTATCACACTGCCCATTGGGAGATTTCTAGCAAAATCTCTCCCCAAAAAGGTTGTAAAGGTCCCTATCATGAATTGGTCCTTCTCGCTCAATCCAGGACCATTTTCAATGAAGGAGCACTGCCTCATTACCATTTTTGCCGGTGCAGGAGCAGGCGGTCTCTATGCCATTCACATTGTAACTATTGTTAAGGCTTTCTACCATAGAGAGATTCATCCACTGACAGGCTTTTTATTAGCACAAACGACACAGGTGAGATTGAAATATATTATCTAAAATATAAAAATAAAGTATCACTTTTAACTATCATGATGTATGTTTACAGTTGCTTGGTTATGGCTGGGCTGGCATCTATAAAAAATACCTAGTTGATTCTCCATACATGTGGTGGCCTTCCAATCTTGTTCAAGTGTCCCTCTTCAAGTATTGGATCACACACATATACTTCACTTTAAAATAGATTACAATACATTTAAACTAACTAAGGTTTTTTTTTAGGGTTCTACATAAGAAGGAGAGAAGAAAAAAGGGAAGCCAAACAAGACTTCAGTTCTTCTTGCTAGTCTTCATCTCAAGTTTTGCATATTATGCAGTACCTGGGTTCCTCTTTCCAGCCCTCTCATGCATCTCAATGCTTTGCTTGATTTTTAAGAAATCCATAACAGCTCATCAAATTGGATCTGGATTGAAAGGATTAGGTCTTGCTTCCTTTGGCCTTGACTGGTCTGTTGTTGTTGGTTTTCTAGGTAGCCCATTGGCCACACCTGCCACAGCAATTTTTAATATAATGGTCAGCTTTATCTTGACAGTTTATGTCATTCTACCAATTGGATATTGGACCAATACTTATAATGCTAAACACTTCCCAATTATGTCTCCACATGTCTTTGATTATACTGGTCGTAGCTTCAATACCACACGAATCATAAATGAGGGAAGCTTCACATTAAATGCTGAAGAACTAGAGAACTATAGCAAGATCAACTTGAGTATGATGTTTATTTTAACATATGGCTTGGGATTTGCGAGCTTAACGTCTTCAATCATGCATGTCGCTCTACATCATGGAAAGTATGGAAATTAAATGATAAAGTTCCAAGTAAATTTTCTAATTTTCATTTCATAAAATATTTTATGTTTTTTTAATTTTTAGAGACATTTGGACGATGTGGAGAAATAGCAAAGAATATGCAAATGAAAAGATAGAGGATGTTCACACAAGACTAATGAAGAACTACGAGTCTGTGCCTCAATGGTGGTTCTATGCTCTTCTAATAGTAGTGATTCCAACATCCATATATACATGTGTTGGATTCGATAAGAAACTACAACTTCCTTGGTGGGGAGTATTATTAGCATGTGTAATGGCCCTAATATTCACATTACCAATTGGAGTGATTGTGGCAACCACAAATCAGGTTTGCTTTAACTCTTTGGCTTACACTTTAAGTTTCTAAAAATAAGAGCTTCAGACAAATATTTATGCTTAAATCAATAATTTTTTTATATAATATTAGGGGTATTACCCACCAAATTAATTCTTATAATTGAATGTGTTTTGATAATAGGTTGGTACCAAGTTTTAACAACAAAAGAATATTAAAAATTAAAAATAATTATGAATAGAAGAAAAAAAACTCAAGTTAGAAAGTATATATTGCAACTTAATTTTTCAGGGAACCGCTCTCAATCTCATTACAGAGTACATCATTGGTTTGATGCTACCAGGAAACCCTTTAGCCAATGTGACATTCAAAACATATGGCACTATTAGCATGTCTCAAGCATTCACACTTCTAAGTGATCTAAATCTTGGGCATTACATGAAGATCCCTCCAAAATCAATGTTTATTGCTCAGGTAACTCATGTAAATGAAATCTAAAAAACAAAACCATATTCTTCCCTTTATGTACTTTGTAGTGGAAGAAAGCTAATACTAAATCTTCCTTGAAACTTTATATTTTTTAAAATGAAATTTCAAGAAAGCCAAAATGGATCTCCTTTTATTCATAGGAGATCATTTTAGTCCAAGAGTGTATAAAAGTATCAATATTTTCCTAGACACATTCAATGGAGGTTTAAATAGTCATCTCTTTAAAAATTACAGAGACTAATTCAGACATATTGAAAAGTATATGGAATAAATTGATACTTTACCGACTCTAAAATAAAAATAGCCCATTACAAAGAGTCGGGAGATAATTTTGGCACTTTTCTCAATTTATTTTTTTTTTAACAATTAAGTTTTTTATACATTTATCTAACATCTTTATGTTTTTCCATGTATTAAAATAACAATAGTTAACAGGAACGATTATAGCATCTACAGTCTACTTTGCAACAGCATGGACACTTCTTGAGAGCATCAATAATATATGTGATCCAAGTCTGCTTCCTTCAGACAGTCCATGGACATGTCCTGGAGATGATGTCTTCTATAATGCATCCATTATTTGGGGTCTAGTAGGTCCTATGAGAATGTTTGGAAAACTTGGGAACTACTCAGCCTTAAACTTATTTTTCTTATTTGGATTTTTACTTCCCATTCCCTTTTGGTTCCTCAGTAAGGCTTTTCCTGAAAATAAGGTGCTAAAATACATCCATATTCCACTAATAATATCAGGTGCAGGAGCCATTCCACCAGCTCACACTGTGAATTATATAATGTGGGGAATAGTGGGAATTTTTTTCAACCATTATATTTACAAAAGCTACAAGAAATGGTGGGGAAATTATACTTATGTCATGTCAGCGGCATTGGATGCTGGAGTGGCTTTTATGGGAGTTATATTATTTGCGGCTTTGCAAGCACATGACATTGGTGGGATAAATTGGTGGGGAGGTGTTGGGGGAGATTATTGTAACCTTGCTAGTTGCCCTACAGCACCTGGAGTGGTAGCTCCTAATTGCCCAATTCATTAGTAAGATTGCAAACCATTGTTATCAAAACATTATCAATTTTATTACAATGGTATCTATATGTCATGTTCTATATAATAATGAAATAATTCAATGTTCAACAATAATGGTTTTATGAAATTAATGCAATGGATAGTTTGAGTATATATAAATTCATCTCATGCATAAAAATATGTTCATCCCATGAAAATATAAATCATTTAATATAACTTATTAAATATTATGCATGTAAATGATATGCATTAAATGCTAGATATGCAAATATATGATAATTTACAAGAGATGTTCATGAATTTTTAAGTTTGCATGTTTATGTGTTAAACACATAAGAGACATGTTCAAGTTGTAAATATGCCAATTTTGATTATAAACATGTAAATATTGTATGGATTTTATGTAAATTTACATAACAAATAGTAAGCTTATGTGGTTTGTAATTTTTTCTAAAGATTATAACTCAAGTGATTTGGCAGTGCAAATTCAAGTGATTTGAAAGTGTAGAAGCTAATATGGTAATTTTAAAATAAAAACTAAAGAAAGAAAGTTTCAAAATGATTTCTTAAGAGTCATAGAAAATTGCAAATTGGAAAAAAAATAGTTGTTATGGAAAATAATCTTAATTTAAAAATTCATTTAAGCTTGCTCAATTTTATTAAAATATTTGATCACTTTGAACTTTATTTTGTAATTTTTCATGCAAACCTATGTTTCAAAGTTTATGTATTCTTAACACATTTATATAAATTAAATTAATAAATATTTTGGGAACTTTGGAGCACATCTAAATTTTGTATAAATTTATATAAAAATTTATTATGAGAATTTTGAAGCACACTTAAATTTATATGAATTTATATTAAAAAAAACTTTGAAAATAATTTTGAGAATTTTATGGCATATTAAATTTATATAAACAATGATTTTAAGACTTTTAGAGTGCATATAATTTTATGCAAAGTTTCGAAATATTTTTTATAAATTTAGCACACATTTAATTTTATAAAAACCTACATTAAAATGATTTTGAGAATTTTAGAGCACATTTACATTTATATAGATTTATATAAAAAATAATTTTTAGAATTTTAGAGCTCATTTAAGTTTATATAAATTTATATCAAAAATAATTTTGAGAATTTTTAGAGCACATATAAATTTAAATTGAAAATAATTTGGAAAATTTTGGAGCACATTTAAATTTACATAAATTTATATTAAAAAGTGATTTTGAGAATTTTCTGCACAAGCTTACATAATTAACCTAACTTAATCTATAACCATACTAATTTAATGAATCACACATAAACATGCAAATTATCCTAAATTATCACATGAACATAGAAATTAGCCTAAATTATCATATAAACATGCAATATATCCTAAACCATCTCGTAAGCTTGTAAATTGGCCAATACAGTATCACCTAAACATACAAATTAACCTACATTATCACATAAACATACAAAATAACCTACATTATCACATAAACATGCAATTTATCCTAAACAATCACATAAGCATGGGAATGTCTAAGCATGCGAAAAGACATAAATATGTGGATACCTAAGCATGTGAATATATAAACACATAAACGTGTGAACTTTAAATAACATAAATATGACTCTAATTTACATGGAACAATATCATATGAAATTTAAATAACCTAAACATAAATTCTATTTTCACATATGGCAAATATACACATTACGTTTCATTTTAAGGAACTTATGCGCGAGTTTCATTTCACATAAAATAAATATAAGCATAACTTGCATGACTTCCAATCCCACATAAAGCAAATATACACATTATTTGTACTTTAAGGAACCTAGGCATGAGTTTCAATCCCACGAAAAGGAAACATACACATCACTTTGCATTTTAAGGGACCTAAGCATGAGTTTCAATTTCACATACACAAAGAAAAAAAAAAGGAAAAAAAAAAACAAAAACAAAAAGAAAACATGAATTCCACTTTAAGGAACCTAAGCATGAGTTTCAACTCCACAAAAAAAAAAAAAAGAAAAAAGAAAACATTAACATAACTTGCATGAATTTCAATCCCATATATAACAAATATGCACATTACACTGCATTTTAAGGAAACTAAGCTTAAATTTCAATTCCATATAAATCAAGCATACACATCACTTGCTTTTTTAGGAAACTAGGCGTGAGTTTCATCTTCACATAATAAAATATAAGCACAACTTGCATGAAATTTAAATAATTTTAAGAGTGTTAAATACCAATGTTTAATCCAAGGCTTGAAATTCGGTTCATGTCTAAGTTGGGTTAGAGTTAGGCTGAGTTGAGATCAACCTAAGTTGAACCCAAAGCCAAGCCGAATCTAAGGCTATTGGGTTTACTAGACTAAATTTAACTTAGAAAAATAAATGCTTAATTTTAAAGAGAGAAAGGGAGAGGGAGCATAACAGAGATGAGGCCGGTCGGAGGAGGAGGCTTAGAAGAACTTATTCCTTCTTCTTTCTTGAAGCTATGGAGGGTGCAAAGAAAATCATTAGTGTGTGAACCTGTGCGTCTCCTGAGCTTCTCAGAGAGTAAGTGTGTCATATAGTGTCAAATATCATCTATTTATAGGCTGGGAAGGTGGTGACTGAGCCCTTGGTGGTCATTTGATTAGGTGGTGGGTTGATGATCATAATGAATCAGATGGTTGGAAGAGCTAGGATCACCATCTGTGAAACAACACAATGATTTGTGCTTGGATCCATTGAAAACGACCACAGATAGGTGGTGTTTCACCAGGAGTGATCATGAGGAGTGGTCACTCCAAATATACCCGGGTGTGGTCACACCTAGGGCTGGTGTGAATACACTGAGAAACTTTTGTTCGTGGTCATTCCTAAGCTAGGTGTGATCATGCCAACGTATTTCTGGGTGTGCTCATACTTAGGTCCGACATTATGGGCAAGTATAGTTTTGGCTAATGTGTCTACACCATACCATGGGGTGATGTCTGTGCAAGTCCGATGTGACCAAAATGAGGTCAATAAATGGACCTCCAATATGTGTGGTGAATTGTTTAAAGTGCGCTACACATATTGACATTCATCGATGCGATCAACTAATTTTGAAGTACATATGATTTGATTTGAGATTCAAGAGATTTAGAGGTTTGAGCTTTTATGAATTTCAGTTATTTGAAGATTTGTTGAGGAATTCATGTTTATCTCAGCACATTAGGATGAAAGCCAATGTGGATTTACATACAATTAAAAAGGTGAACTGAATGACTCGATCAGGGAGGACAGGGTTGGAGCTTATCATTCAACTTGAGAACTAGTCAGAGAAAAAATAAGAGTTTAACCATACTAGCACGAAGACAAACATCCAAACTTGGAGATAGATGGAATGACCAGATATGGAAGGACATCGCTGGAGCTTATCATTCATACTAAAGGCTAGTAAAGAAAACCGAGACAATATTTCTATACTGGGAATGAAAATGCGGGGACTAACATACAACCTATGAGTAGACATAATGATTCAATTAGGAAGGATAGCCCTAGTGCATATATTCATTTTGAAAACTAGTTAGGGAAACAAAGAGAACTAGGCAAGGAAACACAAGAGCAAATATCTAACCTAGGAGGTTGACTAAATGACTATATTAGAAAAGGCATCGCTGGAGCTTATTATTAACCTCGAAGCTAATCAGAGGAACTGAGAAAACTATGTCTATACTAAGAAGGAAAGCGTGTAAACAATCATCCAACCTAGGTGGTAGAAGAAATGACTAGATCAGGAAGAACATTACTGGAGCTTATCATTTATCCTTACAGCTAGTCAGAAATGAGAAAATGTACTTATACTAGGAAGGAAAGTGTGTGGACTAGCATCCAACCTAGAGGTAGACGGAATGGTCAGATTAGGAATGACAGCTCTAGAGCTTATCATTAATCCAGAAAGCTAGTCAGAAGAAAATTTAAATGATTAAGTTGGTTTAATTTTGCTAGTGAATTTAGTTTAAGTGTATTGGAAATTTAAAATTTGTAATGTGATTTTATGTTGTGCCTAAACACATTAAGAAATAGAATATAAGAACTTCTAGACCAAAGCGGTGCACAGGGAAACTTGGTCAGGATAGATGACACCAGGATCTAAACTGAATGCAAGTCAAATGGTCAGCTTAAAGCAGATAGTTTAGGGACTGACACCTACCTTAAGCTCTGACCAAATTGCTTAGAAGTTGGTCATTGGGCTTTAAGTTTCTAAGATTTCATTTGAGTTGTTTAATGACCATACTAGAGAGTGTCACATATACTCTATTGGTACTACAAAGTTGAGACATTGACTTATTGAGTCCTATGAGGGGAATGAGTCCAGCAAACTGAGAAGTTGTGTAATTTTATTATTTGTCTTAGTTGTTGAGTAGGTGTTCAATGACTAAAGCTAAGAATGTTCCTGGCTAGGATGTTATCTGCTCAAGGCTTAGTTTAGATTAATCGAGAAATTACTTTATCATACTTGGAAATACAGTGAAAGCAATGAACAAGTTGCTCAGTGCGAGGGTCGCATCATGGCTTAATCTTGATAATGGTGAGTAAATGCTGACTTGTTCAGTTAGTCAACACTAGAAAAGCTTAGAGATCCTAACTCAGTAGTGTGTAATGGATATACTTAGACCCATCCTAGATTTACAAAACAAATGCATTTGTTGGTGTTGAGGCGGGTGTGACAACAAGGCTAACAAACCTGAGAGAAGAAAGATATACGTTCGGTGTCCAATGATTTTGATTGAGTTAAAAAATTATCTTAGCTCAAAATTACTAACCAAAAGTATTAACCTCTATCAGCAACTACAACTATGATTATATTAATGAACCTGGTCTCATCGCATTGGTACCATATGAGTCGTACATCAAGTTCTAACAGAAAACTAGCTAGAACTATGGAAAGAAATGGTTAAGGCCAAATAAGATCTAACTTCCTTTTCCCACGGTGTTTAATGATGGTACTAGAGGATAATGATTATACTCTAGTTTAATCAGTCAAGGCATGAACTATATGACCAACCTTTTGTTGATTAACATATCATAAACCCAAGGAAAGAAATATATTATGTAGGCTTTTAATAGATTATCCGATTAGAAAGGTTCCCATTGACTAATCCTGCATTTACAAGTTTAAAGTGTTGAATTGCTCAGCCCCAAAAATTCGCTGACATCAGCTAGACTTGCCAACTTTAATGAGTTAGTCCCCTCTAACTTCAAGTATGGCATTTCGACACATAGTCGAGCAATGACTGACTCTTGGTAACAGTTATATAGACATAAACCAATGCATGCTACCTTTCATATAAAGAATGAATTCATGTGTGAAGTTGCCTATCATCTCTACTTGTGCTTGCCTAATTTTGAGAATTATTCATACTCCTTGGGTGAGTTCCCTTGGCTACTTAACGATTGAGCTGAGTTCTTCTCAGTTGAAAGACCTTGGATGGCTTGAACTCAACTAGGAGCCAAACATGTGCATTAATGACATTGTCATTGATAATTCATGAAGGGTCAACTTGCCTTAGATACGAATGTCTAATTTTATAGTGATTATCGATACTAGTCCCCAACACGATCTATGCATTATTTGGGGCGTGCAATATAAATATTTCTTAGCCTTGAGGCTCCGTCCCACTTCAAGTTGTACTTGTTTAGCTCATCTCCTATATTGGTTTCTCCTTAAACAATAAAATACTTTGGAGCTTGGAATTCTTTTTTTTTTCCATAATGATTTAACAAAAAAATAAAATAGTATTGATTGGATATAGTTGCATTGCTCATATCACATTTGAGTGAAGTATCTCACATTGGTCTAACCCCCTTAATATTATCTCTATGGTTGTTAACGATTCGATCTCGAGTCGAGGTCGGGTCGAGTCAAAATTGGCTAAAAAAAATTCGATCTAAAATTTTGTCTCGTAGCTCGGCTCATTTATTTCGATCTAAGCCAACATTCGAATTAGTTATTGAGCATTAATGACCTTCGAGCTAAATTCGCTGAATTCTCCACTACAATATCAATTTATGGATGTTAACGATTTGCGTTCAAGTTGAGTTGGGGTAAGTTCGAGAAAAATTCATTCCAAAATTTTGACTCGTAGCTCGGCTCGTTTATTTGAATCCAATCTTGATCCGAACTAAAATTCAAATTAATTTTTAAGCTTGACTTCACAGCCCTAATTATCTCTAAACTTGAAGCTAACTCGTTGCACCCAATCAAAAGCAGAAGTTTGTTCCCGACCCGGCCCAATCCAGCCCGCTAAAATTCCGAGTTTCTCGCTTCGTGTTTTGCTTTGGGGTTTCATATTTCTGTGCCATCGTTCCGAACTCTTCCAAGTATTTCTTCTCTACCAAGTTTGTGCGCGTTTCAGGCGCTTGGATTGCCGTCCCGTCACCTTGGCTGCAGAAAGGAGAGATGGCGGCTTTAAGGGTTTTTTCTCGGATTCCGAAGGCGTATGCGCAGCTCCTTCCCGTCCGCGCTTCCTTGCTCCCGAAGTTGCTCTGCGGTTGCTCCGATTTCGGTCAGCCTGCTTCGAGCTTGTCTAAGGTGCACCTTTGTTTTCTTATTTGATTTTCAATTTTTTGATCTAAGTTGATGTTTTGAGGCCATAGGGCAGTCAATTTGTGTGAAGGGTTTGGGTTTAGGCTTTAAAGGTTCTTTTTTTTTTTTTAGATTTTAAAATTGTTTATTTGGCAGGGAAGGTTGAATTGGTCAATCTATTTTGATAATTTTTGGTAGGGATAAACGTAGGTACTGATTGCGCCAGCAACTCCAGCAGCGGTGGGTGAGAAGTTGGTGTTTGAAAAGTGGAGTTTCATGGAACTTGCTGTAGTGGTTATTAAAGTTTTAGTCTGTTGTAGTACATTGGTTTAGCTGATTAAGTTTCTAGATATGTTAGTGGAGGAAATGGCCATTATGTGTGAAGCTTTTGGTGAGCTATGGTTAGTTTTTTGAATGCGAGAAAAGGCTCATTGGCTTTGTTCATGCTGTCTGGCTTATATTCAATTTTATAATCATATTCAAGTAGTTATATAAGAATCATTGTTGCTTCAATGGTAGATTTGTCATGTGCTGGCAATACTTTTCTGATTTGTTCGAATAGTAAAAACTGAGCCTAACAAATATTATTAGCTAGTTGGTGAGCTCTATTTTTCACAAACAACTCAGGAAACTAACGGGAGGTCTACTGCATGCACTTATTTAATTTCTTATTGTAAAGGGCTTGTGGCTTATTGTTTTGGCTAAGGATAACGTCAAAGGATTCTGGATGCATTTCTACCAATGATGAAAGGCTTGGTGAAATATGGTAATGTTGAAATCTACTAGTTGGCTAAGGTATATTTCAATTGCTTAAATGCTTGTTGAGCACTGGTATTCCATTTCAACACATCTATCTCTAGCAAGTTGGTTAATGAGTTGACAGTACTTGCAACCTTTTTGACAAAGTTATGGTCCTAGTTGACTAAGCTGAGAAGTTCACCTAGAGCTTTGAGTGCAGTTGGATGTGGCCGTTGCAGAATAGCGTGTATCTTGTCTTTGTTTGGGTAGAAGGCCTTTGCGGAAATGGCATGGCCAGTATATTCCATGTATGTGTAACTGAAGGATCATTTGGAGTGTTGGAGGTGGTAGTTGTTGGTGTGGAGGCAATCATATATAGCTTAGAGATGGAGAATGTTTTCATCCAATGCATTATTTTTAGAAAAAAAGATTATAATATAAAAAGAGGTTTATAAAATTCTTTGCGGCTTATGCTTTTTATTTATGATGCTTTGAAATATAGATGCTGCATCGGTGAGGCAGAAAGGGATCATATTAAATTCATAATAGCCCTTGTACCTAGAAGGTTGTTTGTGAATGTTGCTGAAAGCCATGTAAACTAGATGATTATTGGCACATTGGTCCAATTTGGAAAAAAATGCATCCTCTATGGAGTTGGTCCAACAACATTTTATCAATCATAGGAATGAAACTTGTGTGCTGTTGTTTACTGCTTAAGAGCTATATAATTCACACAGAACCAATTGATGATACTTTTTGATGAGAAATATAAGAGAAGAGAAGGTACTTGTGCCAGGGCATGTGAAGTCTAATTACAGCAATTTTGTACAAATTTCAAAATTGGTTTTTTTCTTCTTTTTGAAAATGTGGGTAACAATAAGGATATATGTTAGTAGATTTGATTTTGGTTTTCAACTGGATTTTACGATCGTATGGGCGATTTAGTAGAAGTATAGAGGTTTTGTCAAAGAGGTCAGAGTATTGTTCAAGTAATGGATATAATAAAGCAGGTTCAGTTGAAGCAGGAATATTAGGCTTGGCAGTGTCAGTCAAGGTTGTGGTGAGTTGAAAGCATGAAGCAATTGATCCTTGGATTGTAAGCTTGAGCAGATGGCTGTACTATGTGTTTGTTATCCATTAATTTGTTGCCTTAGAATGCTATTGGTTGTCCTTGCTTGATAAAACTCATGGTTAAGTAGTTATGCTTTGTAAAAATGCTTCCATATGTGCTGGAGCCATTATAACAGTGGTTTTTTTGGACATTTTGTTGTGCATTTAAGCTTTTTCATTGTCAACCAAATTATGAAATGGTTTTGTGGATAGCATAGGAAGTTTGAGGAATTTAACAAAGTCTCTGTTACTTGAAATTATGTGTTGACCTGCTATTAATTAGAACTTTCATGTATCTCCAATTAGTTCATTGATGCAAAAGAGATGGGGTCTTACTCGGCTATCAATATCACCTAGATTGGTCTTTAATTGATTTGCCAGTGATACTTGGGGCATGGTTTAGTTGTTATTGTGTTATAAAATTTTTTCATTGTGTAGTTCAATTAGGGTGAATTCTTGCCTTTGTAAATGTGGTTATGGTAGAACTATTTGTCGAAGTTGTAGCAGTGTTTTTTTTCTGTTTCTTCATAAGTCTAGCTGGATTTAATTCCTTAGTGGGTTAGGGAGATTTTAATATGCAATTTGCAGTGTAGTAACGAGCCTTGGAAGTGCTGGTGGTTGAGACGTGGAACTAATGCCATCATTGAACTTGTCATCAATAAGTTTTGCTAACTCAGTAGCTTGATCGAGTGATGATAGTTGGTGCGATAGACTTCCTTTCAAATGGTATAGTGATGCCATAATTGAAATTATCTTCAATAAGTTTCACTAACTCCATTCATAGCTTGATTGTGTCATGATAGTTGGTGTAAATGGACTTTCTTTCAAATGGCTGGTTTAAGACATGATTCAATGCATCTATGGAGGAAGGTTTCATTTTGATTAGTGATTTGGTTCAATATTGTTTCGAACTGCAGTTGATAATAAGACGTGGTGGAGGACTTTATGAGTTTGTCAAGTTTGTTTCTTAGATTTGATATTTGGAGGGGCCAAAATGCACGAGAATGGCGATGATGAAATTAATCCATGAGGATAAGTGCTTTTTTTTTTGTTAGCCATAGGTTCCATTCTTTGGCTGGACAAGTGAACATAAGATTGTTCTTATTGGAGAGTTTGTGAAAGTTATAATACTATTTTATTTTTTGGATTCGCATCTCTGGGTTTCTCCTCCATATTGTTGAATGATAATATGCATTGTTTTGAATTAAGTTGCTCCCATCATTTTCTCCATGCTGTTATCAATAGGGAGTTATTTGGTTTTATCATCTTGTTCCTTGGCCATTTGAACTTGCCTTACCTCAATGAGCATGAGCCATAGCTGAACTTCTCAAGGGATTTCGACTTTCGAATTGTTCTTCTACTGTCGATACATGTTTCTTCATTTTAACTGAGTGGGTGCTGTTGTGCATGAGATAGATAAAGCAGGAAGTTGTATGAGTCAATGAGGGCACCTAATGATAGGACAAATGGCGAACATTGAGTTAATGGCAATGATAGCACTGAATGCTGCTTTTTTTTTTCATTTCTTCTTTATTGTTTTTCTTGGTTATTGAGAACACTGGAACGCAATATCATTTTAGCAAGTTTAATAAGGGCTTTTGTATACTTGAGCTCTCATTGTCATGAACTTTCTATGTACTATTGCAGCTTTTGGATGACTTCCTTGCATTTGATTCAAAGGCATTGATAAGAACTGTTATATGTAGTGATGAATCGTGCTTTTTTACTGTAGGTGATTTTGCAGCTAGCTTGAAAAGAGACTTTCTTGACGTATATTTGATAATTGAGCCCTATGTTGTTGGTAGAACTTCTTAATGGACTTAAGAAGCATAACGTATTATAGTATTCTTGAAGAACAATGAATTATTTATCTATCATGCTGTATTTATACAGTTGCAAATTCTAACATTTTTAAAAGAAGTTAGAAGTGAAGCCGTTGATTTTATCATGAAGACATTATTTGGTGCAAATCCTTAGAAGTGCTATCTGTTCAAATCTTTATTATGTTTTCATTTCTTTTTGTGTACCGAATGAATTGATTAATGTAATCATAGATGTTGTAAACTAAGCTTCACGTGTCAGCAATGTTGTCCTCTGAAACTCAGTCTTCGTTTGGATCCTTTCTGGATATTTTGCATATTATGCAGTCTCATGCATTCACATTTAAGAATATTTGGCATGTTATGCAACCTGATATGCATACCTTTATTACCTTACGGATTAATTCTTCTTATATTTTTTTTCTTAAAGCATTTGCATGATGTTGCCAATTGCGAATTAGAATAATCTAAATTTAATAATCTCGGGTTATATAACACTGCTTCCCCTCCCGCATACTGATTTTGCTTCTTCTAGTGACTTTTGATTTCGTTTGAACATTCTAGGTAGTCTTAGGTTTCAGTTAATGTGCCAAATTAGCAGCTAGTTAATTCATTTGGTTCGTTTATCCTTACTGTTGTTTGGGATGCAAGCTTTTTTAATCATTATTCTATAGAACTCATCAAAATGCTTTTGTTTTGTTTGTTGATAGTTTCATCATTACTGTGATTTTGATGAACTCATGACAGTAATTTTAATCACTTTTTTTCTATTGCATGGTGATGGTTTTACATTCATTTCTTGTCTTTATTCGAAGGGAGTCATATGCGAGGCAGAGTTGTTATTTGTGGACATTGAGGTGGAACTTGAGATATATATTATTGTTTAAGATAACTATTTTATAAAGGTAGTTGATAAGGTTTAAAAATTTTGAAGAATAGGGCATGAGATTGTATGTTGGCTCCAATCATTTCAAGAATAAAATCTTATACAGATTTTTTAATGTATTATGAAGATTTAAGGGTAGAAAAATGTTTCTTTTGCTCGCTTGTTTATCTCTCATCTTACCATAATAAGGGAGTTATGGTGTCGTATGGCAAAACTTGTGGATTTTTTTTATTCAGCTTGTTTTCAAATCCCATTATCATTTCCTTCGAGCATTTAGCAGTTTGAGTGTGTTTCATGGCCTGAACCAATCCATCTTTAGTATTTTTTGGTCATTTAGCATGGATTTTTTTTTTTTCGTCACATTCTTAGGAGTTCGTAATTGGGCTACATATAGATACAGTGTAAATGCACATCTTATTCATAATTAATGAGGTATTACAGTAGATGGTGGAACCTGGTGCTAGCATTTTTGCATTCATGTTTTCTGGCTCTATTTCCACATGTTTTTTTCCCTATTTCTATAATGTTATTACATTAATATTCATTGATTGGGCAATGATTTTCCTATTATATGCTTAAGCATATGCGAATGTGTATATATTTAATACATTCTTCTTCTTCGAGGCAGTGGCTACCCAATAATATGAATCTGTTAAGACATCCATATCATAGGGAAGTTGCTTTTCAAAGATTTGGCTTTTCATCCTCTGCATTTTCTCAAGCCACTGAGAAGGTGAGCCAATCTGGGGACCGGGATAACAGTTCTTCAAAAATATCTGATCCTGCTCAAGAAACTTCTGAAGTTGAAATGGCTGGCAAATCAACTGAAGCCAATGGTGATACTCCAGCTCCAGAACAGTCAAATGGTGCAGGTTTTAGTTCAAATTATGAACACAGCGAGTCCCAATCTAGCAAAAAGCGCAGGGGAAGAGCAACTAAAAGAACTGAATTTTCTGAGTCTGATACAGAACCAGAGTTGTCTATTGAAGAGCTAATAAAGCTTGTTGCTGAGAGGGATGATTCACTAAAAATAAAGCAGAAGGAGATTGAAAAGATGCAAGAGAAAGTTCTTCGTACTTATGCTGATATGGAAAATGTTCTCGAAAGGACAAAACGTGAGGTAGAAAACTCAAAAAAGTATGGAATTCAGGTACTGTGATTTCCTTTTTTGTTACTCCATGAGTACTCGTTATTCTCTCTCTTTTTTTGACAGTTACATTTGTAAAATGACTACAAATGATTTTATTTGTTTATTTGGAATAATGCAGAATTTTGCTAAGGGCCTGCTTGATGTTGCTGATAATCTTGGAAGAGCTTCAAGTGCTGTCAAAGAGAACTTTTCGAAGATTGATCAGACTAGTGACAATGAAGGGGTGACCCTTTTGAAATCCCTTTTGGAAGGTGTTGAAATGACTGAAAAACAACTTGCGGAGGTGATGATTCCTAGTTTATTCTCTTAGTATAACATTTTCTTTTTAATAATTAGCTGTAAATTTATGATTTCTTTCTTTCCCATGTTCTAACTAGAGGTGTTAAAAATTGACCAAATGTGCCAAACCTGACTCAACAAATCTTTAGTTTTCCAGTTGGGTTTTGGTCTGGAATTCTTGAAAGTTTAGTTTTTGGGTTGGGTTCTGGTTTACATGCCAACCTGAAATTGATCTTTTAAACTGAAATTGACTCGAATAGTTATGTCTTATGTTACAGGTTTCGTGAATTGGATTAGGGTCAATCGGGTTGAAAGTAAGAGAGCGGTTTGGGTTAGATTTTGTGCTTTAATATTTCGGTTGGGTAGAGTAGTTTTAGGTTGGGTCAATTCGGGTCAGATTTGAACCTGACGTGTAAATCGATTTGACACCTCTAGTTCTAATGATGAACTTCCTTTTTTCAGCCACATGTATGGTGAATATTTATACTTTTCGTTATAAATTTTGCTGTGTGCATTTAGATAGATCTTGCATGGCTGGCTGGTTTGAAATATCTTTCCTTCTTTTGCTGTAATGAAAATTTTTATTGTAACAGTTTTGGTGGTGAAAATAATTAGTATTGAGTTATTCTACATGGGACTAAGAATTACTTTAAAGGTTTTCATGGCTTTTTTGTAGTTCTAAGACAAATGAATATTCTTTTACTTCCATTTCCAATTGTTAAGATTTTTTATGTAAACAATCATTTTTTTATTTAGAAGCTCTACCAAAAGTTAATTTTATATTTTCTTAATCAGTCAAAGATGATTAGTGTTTTCGACTGGGATGCTTATCATTTAGTGATTTTTTGTTTATATTTGCCTTGGCAGCATTCTGTGGAGAAAAATAGAACTTTTACTTAGATCAAAGCTTAAGAGATTTGCTTAAAAATGGTCCGTATACACAGTGTGATGAACACTGAAAATTGAAAGTTGTGAGATATAAATCACAAGACCTAGAGGCCATCCAGTTTGATGGTTATTCTTCTCAGCTAAGCCTATGCTCTCTCTCCAAGCTTCTCTTGGAAATTGCACAAAATTTTATACTTATTTGGAAGACTCCTTTGGCTCAAAGAGTAAAGCCAGGCTTATTTCCCCTGTTAAACATAAATTTTTTACAAGAAAAATGAAACAAAAACAAGTGCTAGATACAGTAATTATTAATTAAAACTAAAAAAAAGTGGAACAAAACCCCTCTATTTTTGAACTAGCCATGGATCAGTTGATCTGCTCACCGTGACCAATTTCTTTCTATGATTCGTGTTTATGTAAAAAACTTGCTTCTAATGGTTTAAGCAACATTATTAATACTTTATGCATTATTGAAATAGATGATGCTTCATCTGTGGAGGAGTTCTATTTTGGGATATGGGCGATTTACCGTGGAAGTGAGAAGAAGGGCAATCTTAATTAGCTTGGAGGGAAGAGAAGAGGTTGATGGTTGAACTTGAGAGGAAGGAGGTATTGTGATATTAGCATAAATTGAGGAGAACTGTTTGAAGGAGGTATTGTGATATTAGCATAAATTGAGGAGGAGAACTGTTTGCCAGCAGAGAAAGAGGATTTGGAGGGAGGATGACCTTATATAGTATAAGCCCTTAGCTTTGACTATATATAAAAATAGAATATATAAAATATTTTGCAACTAATCAAATTGCCATAATAGTTTGGCCAGAAGTGCCATAATTTTTGCTACCAAGCGGTTACTCAATAAGTCCCTTTGATGACGGTGTGATTATAGGCTATAGTTTATACCCATATTTGTGCATTCAGTAAGTTTATGCTTATTAGCATGATTGCTAATAAGCATGATGGGTTTAGGAATGAGATTTATTGCATTCCTAGGGGATTAGACCATATAAAACTCCAAAATTGGAAATTTTCAATAGTTCTATTTCCTATTATTATACTTAAGTTGAACAATGGTTAATATAAAATCACTATATTTTGGACAATACCTTACTAAACAATTGAAAAACTTTACCTAAACTTCTACTACAACATCTACTAAAAAGCTTATATTCTTTTTTTTTGGGGGGGATAATTACATACAAGGGACAAGAAACATTGCTATTTACAAATCAAGCACCTAGTTGATTTTTTGAACTATCAAACCGATGCATTTACATGTACCACCATCAAACCATTGTGAATTTAATAAAAATAAAAATAAAAAATATGGGTTGGGGTTTTATCATGACCTTTGATATTTGAGTGAGATTTCGATAAATGGATAAAAGAGGGCACTTGATTTGTAAATAGCAATGTTTTGGGTGCCTTTTATGTAATCACACCCTTTTTTTTAATTAGTTATGAATTTACATCTATAGTAGATAAATAATTTTGAATAAGAACTTGGGCATGATAGGCATTAAATATCTTGGAGCATGTGAAAAAGTACACCATCTTAGAGAACTCATTGGTCGTTTCAAAAATTGAATTATCACCTCACCTTGTTTTAAGTTACTTAAAGATAAATGTCAAATTAATAGATTGTTTTTGTGTGTTGGAACAAGTTAAAGAGCATATAAAATAAAATTGTGCTCGGGAGCTTTATATAAATGACAAACTCTATTAGTTAACTACTAGGGCAGCTTTTGTCTTTTTTGAGGTTCAATAGTGTTTGTCTTCTTCCAATTAGGTTGTTTAACCATGAAATATACAATTTGAAATTTCTCTTGCATTTATTTTCCTAGACTAGAACATCTCTTAGGGAAAAATAATGATTGCACCATTAAAAATTTTTAATGTAAAGATTATTGCGTTTTTTATGGATCTTGGATATCATGATGGATTTTGAAATGGAAACATATTATGCATTCTTCTTTTATTTGTGATAATAATAAGATTCAAGGATATAATCTCAGCTTAGGGAGTTAATAATCTTTTTCTTTTGTTGCACGGTTATGAGTAAAATGTATTTTTTGAATGACTGTTACCAACTGTCACGACCTAACCCGTTGCTTAGAATTAATCAAGTTAAGAACAAACGGTTGGATGATGAGAATAAATTCTCTGTTATTCTATTTCTATCATTAACAATTTAATATTCAAATATACCTAAGACATCCACTAAAAAGCATTTTAAATATTAAGTAGGAATTTATAACTTTTTGTTTATTATTATTTCCTCTTATACATATTTGCTTCTCTTATATTAATCTTGTTCAAATGCACATAACCTAAAAATAATATTAAAATAATATAATGAATTTCTAAAGATAACCTAGGAGTAATCACACTTATAAATTACAATAATCTAAGGAAAATAATTCAATATGCATGCTAGTCTTTCATATCTCTGTAAGAAATCTTATAATATGCTAGAATCATAATTTTATAAGAAATGTTATATATGCTAATGCATGCATCAATGATCTTTTAGAAATAAAAATATTCAAGTATTCTATATGTATTTACTTTAACTTTATTTTTATTTTATTCTTTTTACATACACATTTGTTTCTGTGATCACTGTCAACAAAACATAACACACCCTTGATCGTTATTTTATCGTTGGCACAAAAGTTAGTAATTTAAATATCATAATTGCATTTGGTGGAAATTTTCTTACCCGTCCCTTATCGATATTATTCTATCGGCACAGCGGTTAGCAATGTAAGCATCACAATTGTCTGGGAAGATATGCTCTGGTTTAGTTGCTCTTGACCGATATTATCCTTTTCTCATAGCGGTTAGTGATCTAACCATTATAATTGTCGGGGGTGGTAGAAATATTCTATTCAGACAGGTATATTGACGTCCCCTGCCTATACCATTAGGGGGTAAACTTCTCTGAATACGTACATACGAACATTCTTATATAAGCTATTTCATTCTTCATAACATATATTTTTCTGAGACATCTTCATTCATCCACTAACATGCATATTTTGCCGTGTAACTAATCATCATACATATATTTCATATCATGAATATCTCTCATATCATTCTTATCTATTATATTATGCATACCTCTAATATCATGCATATCTTTCATATTATGCATGTATTGCATATCATGTCTATCATACATATTATGCATCTCATGTATATTTTGTATATTTTTTCTATCATGCATATTATGCATATGTTTCTAACAATATGAAGAATATGTTGCAATTTTAAATATGGCTGAATTAGTGTATACATGAAGTCGATCATACATTTTAAATAAAGAAAATTAATGAAATTTAGAAATGTAATTACTCACCTTAGTTGCCATACTAGATTCTTAATCTTTGGTAAGTAACTAGACGTTGCGGTAACTTTAATATGGATATTAATAATCTGAATTTGGGGAGCCTTCTTACGACTAGCTTTTACTCGCTTTCCTCAAACTTTCAGTCTTGGGTAAACGACCTGAAATCTTAAACGACTTAGAAATTCAAGATATATTAACTCATAACGTAATTTAACCGAAAACATAACTGATTAGCTTAAATGTACCTTAAACGGCTTCTCGACAACCCAAAACTTCTCCAAAGTTGCCAAAACTTCGCTTTTCTTCTTATCACCTTAACCCTTCTATCTTCACTGATATGACGCTAAGCCTTTACAGAAGTTCACAAACAACTTATGACACTTCCGACATAATTTCAACGCTTTTGATGACTACTGAACATAAAAAAGCGCACAAAATCGAAGCAAATATCAAAATAAAAGTGCGGGGAAGGAAATGAAAGTCTTGAATAGCATGAAAGAATTCATAATTATGGAGTTCTGCCTGGAGCTCTAAATCGTGCTCTGCTGCACTCTGCGGGTCGCCTGGATCTTGCGGCTGCGCTTTGTGCTATAGAGCACGGGCGCAACTCCTTCAAGCCGAATGTGGCTATTGCGTGAAAGAGGAGACGGGAGATACTTTGTGCAAATGAAACCAAGAATAAGGAGAGGAATTGAAGACTCCGGAGGTCATTCGAACGAAAACAACCCTAAACAAACTTTAAAGTTGGTTGGCTACAGCAAGCA